CCCACGGCCAGTTTCTGGTCCGGCCCCGCTCGCTGCCTACCCTGGACGCCCCGCCTGGCACCACGGGCCCTGAACTCTCCGCGGCTCCTCTCCGTGCTCGTTCCCGTTACTTGGGCCCCGGGAGTTTCCTCTTCCGAGGGGAGGCGAGGCGAGGCCACGCCAGCTAGCGGGGAGGAAATGCCGAAGTCTGTAGCGGAGTGTGGAGCCGGCGGGCGGGCGGGGTCGGCCCGCTCCCGGGCCTCCGCCTTAAAGCGACGCAGGGCGGCGGGAGGGACTTCAGGACGCCCTTGGCACTGGCCTCCCGCGGGCCACCCCCATCCTTCCTCCCCGAAGGCAGATCTGAGAAGGCCACCGTTTCGGGGCTGTGGCCTTGTCCAGGGAGCCTCGAGTTGTGCGACATGAAATTATACTGGGAAGTTGTAAAGGCGGAGAAAATGTTCACATTCAGGCTACCCACCTCCCTCCTCCGCCAGTAAGTCGTGGTAGCGTGGCAGACCCTGGGATGGGAGTGGCCCCTGCTGTGCGCTGGTGTCCTTTATTCAAGCCAGTAGTTTTTGAGCACCTACAGTGTGCCTGGCAGGGGGCTAGGTGCTGGGGAAACGGCAGTTAACGTCGGGAAGGTTTCCGCCCTTCCGTGAAGCTTACAGCCTGGTTCAAAAAATAGAAAAAGAAACCAAAAGACAAAGGTGCGGATATGGGGAAGATGCCCTTAAAAAAACAAAGCTGTGCTGTGATGGAGACAGATTGAAAAGGTGGCTGCTTCGCATTCTGTAGGGGGGAGTCTCCCCGAGGGGGACATTTGTCTGAGACCTGAAAGAGGAGGAGCCAGCATTGGGAACAATAACAGTCCTTACCGGCACTGCTCTAATCACTTTGTGCAAATTAACTCATTTACTCCTCACTTTAATCCCAAGAAATGGATACTATTATTCTCCCCATTTTTTAGAGAGGACACCAGCAGGCAGGTTCAGCTGCTTGCCTAAGGTCACACAGCCCGGCAGAGCTGAACTTTGAATCCAAGCATCTGCCTCTCTGGAAGAAGCCAGTGGGCAGGACTCCCAGGAAAGGGGACCATGGGAATGTCCCTTCCCTGTCTGCAGGGAATTTCTTGGGGTCCTTTGTCAAGGACTGCACTGGGACCTGAGTCCCAGGAAGCCTGTTTTGTTTCTTAACAGGGAGTGACGTTCTCAGAAATTATGTGGATTGATTTAAAGGCCACTTAATTGCACCTTCCCTGCTTGCACCATCATTGAAGGAGAGCAAGGTCAAACCCAGCTGCCATCTGGGAGCCAGGACTCAGAGGATGGCTCCTGGATTAAGCCCCAGAATTACTTCCAGAAAATTCTAGGTTGAGCCTGATAGAGCTAAAGAGTCTTGCTTTCAGAGCCCATCTCCACTACTATTAGCTATGAGACCATAGTCTATTCATCAGGATGCTTTGGGTTACAACTGACAGAAACACAGCTCAAGCTGGCTTAAGCAAGATTGGAATTTATTGTATCATGTTAACTGAGAAGTTCATGGCACATCAGCTTCAGGTGCAGTTGGATCTAGGTGCTCAAATACGATAAGACCCTGTTTCTCTCCACTCTTCAGCTCTGCTTTCCTCTTGCTATCTAGTAGCATCGGAAGTCTCCTAACTTCAGAGGGGATAAGAATCACCATCAGCACAAAGCTGATTCCTATGAGGTAGAGGTTCAGACATACCTCCACTCTCCAACTTTGTCACCATTTCTAACACCAGCCGTCCTCACCTCCCCCCGCCCCTCCCCCCTGACCACACACATAGCACTCTATTTCTCTGCTGGGTTAGATAATTTGTTGCAGTGGCCACACAGAACTCATAGACCGTACTCACGATTATGTAGTTAATTAAGGAAGTAACAGGCTACAACTCAGGAGACAGGAGACAGTTCTTCAGTCAGGACAGCTTCCAACCATGATAGCTCTCAGCTTCTTCCCAGCCATGCCCGCTGCAGGCCTTCTCTCAGCCTCCACCCTGCTCAGGCAAGTGTTACAGCTCTTTAGCTACCCCGACAAGCGCCCAGAGGCACCCCACTCCACCGCCAATCTTTCAGTTAGCAGCTGAGCACTTAACCACTGTGCCACCAGGGCTCCTAAAGCAGCTATAGACAATATATAAATAAATGAGTGGGCAGGGCTATGATTCAGTTAGAATTTATTAATGGACACTGAAATTTGAATTTCTTATTTTCATGCTATGTAATACTCTTTGATTCTTTTTCAGTCATTTAGATATGTATAAACCATTCTTAGCTTGCAGGTTGTACAAGAACAGGTGATTTTTGCCTGCTGGCCATAGTTTCCCAGCCCCTGCCCTAGAGCACAGGGGAGCAACAACATGGAAGAATCTCCGGTCCCCAACACTGTCCAACTGTCAGATCAGACTTGTTGTTAGCTGCCATCAAGTTGGCTGCCAACTCATGGCGACCCCATGCACAATGTAATGCAATGCTGCCCAGTCCTGCGCCATCCTCACAACTGGTTGGGGATCGTAGGGTTTGTTGTGATCAACAGGGTTTTCTTTGGCTAATTTTTGGAAGTATATTTTCGGGCCTTTCTTCCTAGTCTTAGTCTGGAAGCTCTGCTGAAACCTGTTCAGCGTCATAGCAACATGCAAGCCTCCACTGAGGGATGGGTGGTGGCTGTACATCAGGTACATTAACTTCTATTTTGCTTAAGCCAAAATAATAATAATAAACGGGGGACTGGGAAGATTAAATGAGATAATGCTTATTATTAGCACAGTACCTGGCATGTAAGCTGCTGTCATTATCTGCCCTTAGCATATCCTACTAATCTTTCCCACCCTCTCTACCACCATAGTTCAGGCCACGTCATCTCCCACCTGCCCTGTTATAACCACTTCCTATCTGGTCTCCTTGCTTCCACCCCTACCCCATAGTCCCTTCTTCACATGGAAGCCACAATGATCTTTCTAAAACCTAAATCGGATTATGCTGCTTCTCTGTTTGAAAGCCTCTACCAGTTTCCCATTTGCTCAGAGTAAAGTCCACAGCCTGCAGGGCCCTCCTTGCCTCCACCTCTCGCCCTCACTCAGGCCTCCCTGAGCTCACTGTTGCTTGAACGCCCACGCACTCACCCTGCTTTGCACTTGCTGTTCTCCGTGCCTGCTGCCCTTTCCCTGCTGCCCTTTCCCGAGATAGTCGTGACTTGCTCACGCCCCTGCTCAGACGTCACCGTAACAGAGACCTTCCTTAACCCCGCCTCTGTAAAACAGCAGCCACATCACTCTGTCCCCACACCCCACTCTGTTTGTCTTTTTTGCCTCCTGACAAATGATATATTTGTTTGTTGCCTGTATCCTTCTCCTTTAGAATGTAAGCTCCGTGAAAACAGAGATTTAGGTCTGTTTTCTTGTTTGCCATAGCAACCAAAAAATTGGGGGAAAAAACCCAAACCTACTGGCATCAAGTTGATTCCTACTCATGGTGACCCCATGTGTTACAGAGCAGAACTACTCCCTAGGATTTTCTTGGCTGTAATCTTTATGGAAGCAGATCACCAGGCCTCTCCTCTGAGGTGCTGCTGGTACGTTAGAACTGCCAACCTTCAGGTCAGTTGTTGTGTTGCTGTTGCTTGCCATCGAGTCTGTTTTACTCATGGTGACCTCATGTGTGCAAAGTAGAACTGCTCCATAGGGTTTTCAGGGCTGTGACCTTTCAGAAGCAGATTGCCAGGCATGTCTTCTGAGGTGCCTCTGGGTGGGTTCAAACGGCCAGCCTTTCAGCCGGTGGCCAAGCGCTTACCCATCTGCACCACCCGAGGAGCCCTTTTTCGGTTGGTAATCAGGTGCGAACTGTTTACACCACCCAGGGGCCTTTTGCCATAGCTGGGCCAGGGACATGCTTGCTGACTAAATGATATGCTAGTGTTGTTATTGTTTTTCCTGCCAGAGCTCGGTTTCCATAGCTCATTTCCTCCAAAGAATTCAAGATAGAAGCCTCAGAACGTTGTGTGTGGAAAATCTACTGCTAGGTATGTGTCAGAACAAATAAAAATAAGTTTATTCATTAATTTATTGTCCACATCTGTGGGTGGATTCAGAAAACCACCAGTTTCTTAGCCTTTTGATAATTATTAAAAATCTCTTTTAATGTTTAATATTTGACAAAGACCACTCCTGTTGTTTTCATATAGCCGCAAATATATACACACACACTTTCCAATGTTTCTGATATCCCCAAGGCGTGCCCCGTGGAAGAATGGAAACACCAATGAGAGGAAAAGAGAAAGAGGAGGTGACTCATTTTGCACGGGAGGACCACAGAAGACTCATGAGGAGGTGACATATGGAGGAGACTTTGGAGGACAGGAAATGATAGATGTTTGATATGTATTGTGTGTGTCCTGGCTGTGGCCCTTCCCACACAGTAGCTCCCAGGAAGCTCAGAACAAGCCCAGTGACATAGGTGCTGTTTTTAATGCCATTTCACATGTAGGGAAAGTTAAACAGAGAGATTAAGTAACTTATTCAGGGCCACACAGCTAGCAAGTCTGACTCCAGAGCTGGGCCCTTAACCCGTGAGTCACTGCCTTCTGCTTTGTAAAGGGTTTGACAGAAAAGAAATAGAGCATTCTGGGAAGACAGGTTAATGTATTTTTGTACTGACCTCCCTAACCAAGTGACGAGGTTCTTGAAGGCAGGGACTTTGCCATATTCATCTAGGTATCTTTAGTACCTAGAGGTCTGTTGAATGAATGAATGGGATCCCGATAAACAGAAATTATGGAAATGGAAACAAAATGTGCAAATGTGCAGAGGTGAATGAGCATGTGACAGTGGGGGAACAGGAAATGGGTCCTGTTGTACAGAAGTCTGGAGTTTGTGAACGGACTCTGGCTAAATTCACTCATATCCATCTTAGTTTCCTAGTGCTGCTATAACAAATAATACCACAAGTGGGTGGCTTTAAAGAACAGAAATTCATTTCCTTACAGTTCTGGAGGCTAGGAATCTGAATTCAGGGTGTTAGCTCTAGTGGAAGGTTTTTCTTTGCCTCTTTCAGCTTCTAGTAGCTGCCAGCAATCTTTGGCATTCTGGGCTTGTAGATTCATCTGCCTCTGTCTTCACATAGTGTCTTCCCCTGTGTGTCTTTGTCTATTCTGCTCTGTTTATAAGACACCACTCAGAAGTGATTAGGTTTAGGGCCCACCCTACTCTGAAGTGATCTCATTAACATAAAAAAATAAAAATTGTATTTCTAAACAGAGTCATATTATCAGGATTAGGACTTCAGCATAACTTTTGGGGGGGACACAATTCAACCTATAACACCATCCATTCCAGCCTTCTTCCAGGAAGCCTTCCTCTGCGGCCCAACTGTGCAGATCCAAGTGGATCTGGGGTGGCCCATAAACTGGGTCTGGAACAGAAGGCTTCCTAGAGGAGGTGTCTGCTAAGGGGATAGAGAAGCACACCCTGTGCAGAAGCCCCTCCACATACAAAATCCTGGGGAAATGAAAGAGCATGGTTTAGATTTCAGTAGGTCTGAAGTCTGGGGCTGAGGGGAGAAATGTTGAGAGATGAGACTGGACAGCTGATCACAAGCCAGGTTGTGATGGACCTCGTGTACCACACTGTTTGGACAGGTTAAGATGCCGTTGGCTGCAAGTAACAGAAGACCCTGACTCAGCTGATTTAAGTAATAAGGACATTTTACAACTTCACATACTAAAAAGTCTGGAGGTAGAGTGGCTCCATTCTCGGTTAATTCAATGGCTCAACCATGCCATCAGGTCCTCCCATCTTTCTGTTCTACCATCCACAGACTAGCTCCCCTCCTGGTTATAAGATGGCTGCCACAGTTCCAGGCATCACATCCAAACACAACAGCATCTATCAGAAGAGTGGTGATCTCTTCCTTGTGTCTTGATTTTAAAACAAGGAACTCTTGCAGAAATCTCCCAGCATAACTTTCCCCAAGTCTCATGGCCTAGAAATGCATCATGTCCAAGCTCAAAACAATCACTTGCAAGAAAATTGGAGCTGCCCTGATTGGCATATATTAATGAGAATTTGGAATCCCTGGGTGGTGCAAATGGTTAAGCGCTCAGCTACTAGCTGGAAGGTTGGCATCCAGAGGTGCCTCAGAAGACACAGTTGGTGATCTACTTCTGAAGGGTCCAGCCTTGAAAACCCTATGAAGCAGTTCTACTCTGCATGCATAGGGTCATGCCATGAGACAACAGCAATAAGATTTACTTCAGAGCTTGGGGTGCAGTCACTTTTGTTTAAGAGTTGATACCTGAATACATTTGGAGTACTCTTAATAAGGGAGAAGGGGACTGATGGGTAGATTATTAATTAGGATATAAATTCTGCTGCTGTTACAGAAACCTAAAATTACAGTGGCTGAAACAAAATAGCAGCTTATTTCTCTCTCATAAAACAGTCACAGTGTCAGGAAACCAGGCTCCTTCCATTTCGTTGCTCCACCGTCCCTAGATGCTGACCTGCTCTCTATTGTACAAGAAGACACGGCACCTCATCTGCATTCTAGCCCATGGGAAAGAGCAAAAGGGGACAGGAAGAGCATGCCCTTTACTTTGAAGGGCATGACCTGGAATTGCACATTCCACCTCCACACATCCCATTGGCCAGAACTTAGTTACATGGTCATATGTCGTAGCAAAGGAGTCTGGGAAATGTAGTCATTATCCTAGATACCAAGTATCCTCCTAAAAATAGGGGTTTTGTTACTATGAAAAAGAAAGAATAAATATTACGGGGCAACCATCAATCTTTGCACATTAGGCAACCAACAGTATCCTCTCCATGGGACACTGTTAGGTCAGTCCTATCCTAATCGCGATAAATTATTTGTGTGATTACTAATTAAAGGTTTATATTTCCACTATATTGTAAGTTTGTTGAGAGCAAGGACTATGTCTGTTATGGAGGTGCTCAATTACTAATCGCTGAATGAGTGACTAAATGAAAGAATGAATGAATCTTATCTTAGAAGTTCAGCAAAGTTGCACTGTATTAATAAAGAGAGTCCCTGGGCAGTGCAAATGGTTAAGCCCTCAGCTACTAACTGAAAGGTTGGCGGTTCTGATCCACTCAGAGGCACCTCAGAAGAAAGGCCTGGCAGTCTACTTTTGAAAAATCAACCACTGAAAACCCTATGGAGTACAGTTCTATTCTGAAACACATGGGGTCACCAAGAGTCGGAGACGACTGGATGGCAACTGGTATTAATAAAGAGCCTCCCGCTAGAAATTCCTCTTCCTTGATCTTCATTTTAGAGGCCACTGTTTCTATAAGCATCATGAATAATGAAACCATCATCGGTCAAAGGAAAGTTTTGGTCTGGCAGAGATGAAGGGCTAGGAGACAGCTAATGAGGCTGTAATGCAATTTAGTGCCAATAAAATGGTGTGATATTAAATCCCAGGCCGTGAGATTTAAACGATAAACCCAACACAATTAGAGAGTAAGAACCCCATCCCCCACCTGCTCCTAGTCTTCTAGTTTGCATTATTTTATGGATGCTGACTTCCCACTGATACTGTCTGGTGATGTCATGGTGAGAATTTTGAGAGTCATTAGATTTCTGGCTGGAGGGCCAGCGGGACCAAAGAGACTCAGAGTGTTGTGGTCGTTGTTAGATGTCATCAAATCAGTTCTGACTCATAGCGACCCCGTGTACAACAGAACAAAACACTGCCCGGTCCTGCACCATCCTCACAGTCATCACTATGTTTGAGCCCACTGTTGCAGCCACTGTGTCAATCCATCTTGTTGAGGGTCTTCCTCTCTTTCGCTGACCCTCCACTTTATCAAGCATGATGTCCTTCTCCAGGGACTGGTCCCTCCTGTGAGTGCGTGGGTCATAAAATCACCAAGCCCAGAAAGCCACTGTCAGTGAAGCTAACATGTCCAGTATCCCTGTCTCCTGCCAACAGCGAGGTAATGAGAGCTAACCTGTCTTGAGTGTTTACTATGCAGCCAGCGAAGTTCTAATTAGCACTTGACATGATTTAACTCATTCAACCCTCACAACCCAGGACAATCCTAAGAGGGAGGTTTTATCTTTATTCCCATTTTGCAGAAGGAGAAACTGAGGCATAGGCAGCGGCTGAATTGAATTGTGTCCCCCTAAAATGTGTTGGAATCCTAACCCTTCTACCTGTG